TTATTCTTTTGAATATATAATCTTCTCCCAAAAATATAGTGCGGGGCGAGCCCATTATGGTTTTGTCCCAACACAAGAACTAACAATAATTACAAAATCTAGGAAAGAGTACTTATTTAAATTTATCTATTCTTTTTCAAACAACTTGAATCTGAAATTAAAGATCAGTATATTTACAGAAAGTGTAGATCTCATTTACATAATACTAATAAAAAATTTGTGAACATTAATTCATTTTTCAAAACATAAATTCATTTTTCAAGTATCTCAAAAAACGATTCGATAAACTTAAATATTTAGAGTTTCTTCGAAGTAGATTTTATGAAAAAGTAATTTTTTTGGAGAACGTGAAGTTAAAAAGTAAATAAAAATTATGAGTTTGTGTGTAAAAATTATTTTATTAAAAAAAATGTAGTTGAAAATAAATTTTTAAAAAGTCTATAAAACAGGACTTAAAGTATGCTAAACACAACGATTAACAATTGCTTAAAAGTTTAGAGTAATACTATTTATCACCACTTGTGTTAAGTATCAATTTAAATGATAATTATATGATATTAAATGATAGATTCATTTAAATACAAATTCTCATGACTCGTTTAATTGAATCTATAAAGTGTCAAAAACTCAAATTGATGCTTAGTACCATCAGTACTAGAAAACATATTCAAAAATTTAATTGTACAAAAAGTATTTCCAACAAACACAAACTCAGAGGAAGACTCAAACAAAGACCACTTTTATTTGACTCCTAGGGATATGTAACACAAAAAAATTGATTCTTTGAAGCCAAAGCCAATTGCACAAAGCATAATATTCCAAGAAAGCAAAAGATTTCAACTTTCCCTATTCCCACAGAAGAAGATCTCCCTTCCCCTTTAACATACTATTTTACTTCCCATTTCTATCAAGATTCTTCATTTTCCTTTTCCTTTTTCTTCCCTCCTCTCTTTTATTTCCACTGTTTTGTCAAAAGATGTCACTCTCTTAGCACCTGGGATCAATCCCATCACATCCTTTTCAGTGTTTGTCTCTATCTATTTTCACAAAATCCCACATATTTTACATCAAATTCCAAAGTTCGGAAGTGACATGTTATATACTATTGGAATGTATCGAACAATATAACAGATAATATTCAATTTTTATTTCTCATTTAATAATGTTAGTCGTGCCTAAACACGACAAAAGTAGATCGAATAAAACATAAATCACTACCGAAAGAGGAAAAATGTAATAACAAAATTCATAATTTTCGAATCAAGCCACTAGCAATAGCATGATTTGTAACAAAATGAGTATTTTCATAGACTGGAAGTTCTTCAGAAAATTTCTTCATGTTTCCAAACAATGCCAAGTGATCAAGCTCGAATAACTCCGAACTTGAATCACTTGCTGCATCCTCCTCGTCGTAGTCTTCTTCATCATCTTCAATTTTACAGCGAATATTTCTCAACATCGAGAAATCGTCCTTCCTTTGGTTAGGATAAACCTTGGAATAATCTCGTGTTGAATCTTGAATTCTTCTGTTTTTCTCTCCTGGACTAAATCCGAAGTCTGGAGGCAATGGTGGCCTTCCAAATTTATCAGAAACGTCATGTTTTTTCACAGATTTGTGGCCATGAGAGTGAGAATGAGAATCTTCATCAACAATGACATTAACTGGATGAAATCTGACCGTTCGTCTGTTGCCAACTCCCATTTTCTCCACTGGTTTAGAGGAGTTGTTGATCAAACATGATCTTGGAAATGACGATGCTGATGAACAGGTTGATGCACCCTGTTGGGATTTTGATTCTCTCTCCATCTTTGAATCTTCAAACCCTCCATCTGGATTAGATTTCTTCGTTTTCTTCGAATTCGCAAATAGGGAGTTGATAAAATTTGTAAGGCGAACTCCAGGGGAAATAGGCTGTTTCACCTTGTTCAAATTGGCATAAATCTTCATGGCCCTCGATTTCGATTTGATCAAATTGTCATCCACTTTATTTTCCCGCTTCTTTTGGTGGAGAAACTCCTCATTTTGGTTATGAAATGAGTGATTTTCAACCCCTCCACTTGTTCTTACAGGTTTAAGCTTTGGTGCAGAAAAACAAGAAGTTCTTGACTTCGTTGAATATGAACCCCCAAAAAACTCCGAATCAGATGAAGAGAGTGCTCCAGAACTGTCTGAAGAACTCGAATTTGAACTGAAAAACATCAAATCATTTTCTTGTATCCATAATTTCTCCAATTCTGCCCTTCTTCGAGCAATAATTTCCTTCTCCTTCCACAGAATTCCCATTTCTTCATCTTTTTTGCTGCCAGTTTTTGCCCTTCCACCGCCATGCTTTTTTATGGGCTTTTCTTTATGCACCTCAGATTTTTTGTCAGTTCCATCGATGGAATTGATGATTTCGTCAAGAAGGGTAGAAGAAAATGATGGATTTCTGGGAATTTTTCTTGGTTTATCTTCTCTCAATTGTCTTTCCCAGCTATGCATTTCTGCTAAGAACCAACTGTTTGTTGAAAATTTACTGAGAAAAAACAAAATATGAACCAAACGTAGGAAAATCAAGAACTTGAGGATTGAGGAGAAAGGAATAGAAGAGAGAGAGACTTATAAAGGGCTTGTTATGAGAGTGCATTAAGGACTTGATTTAAGGCAATGCCGCGTTTGGCATAATTGATTTTCCAAAATTATAAAAGCAAATTATAACATTTCAAAAAAGCTTGCTCATCACTTTTATAATATTTTTTCTTGCCTTTGACCGTCACCATGATCGTCATCACGTTATGTCGTGTGAAGCTTAGAACGGATAGGATGCACGAAGCTACATTATCGTAAAATTCTAAAAAATTGATAAAATCAAATGATTCAAGTTACAAGCGAAAAATCCTAGATAGACGTAGTGGTATATGCGATTGAAATTAGACGAAGCAAAATTATACAGAACAGTTTCCAATTAATGAATCAATATTCTAAAGTGCATGCAATTTAGTTGAAGGCAATTACATGATCAGTAAAGTTGAATATATACTAATAATTAATTAAGTTAATATCTTTTGAAAAAAAAAAGGTAATGACTTTGGAATGTTAAATGTGAACAGATGAATTGTAGTTAGCTGAATTCTTTGAAATATTGTACTTAGCTGAATTGTTTATCATTGAGGGCGGTTTCAATTATTAAGATATGTTTCAAGAGGATAGATTTCATTACTCTTGTTGAATTTGTTGTCTTGCATATTTTTCTTTATTTTTTAGTCTCCTAACATTAGAAATACCCAATGTTTATAGAATATTTCGTAAAATGGATAAACCCATAATAGATGTGAATAAGCAAGAAAAAAAAGATGTTAAAATTTTGTTATTTGTCCTTGTTAGGTTTTTAATTATGCAATTGGCAATTCTGTAAATAAAATGAATTTAATTGTAAATATTGTAAAAAATTAAGGAGTAATGTGCAATTATATAAAAAATAAGTTTTTAGGTTTAGGGTTAGAGTATAGCAAAAGAAGAAAAATACGGCGCAAATTTTTGCTAGACTGTCACCATGGATTGACTCAAGCGTAAAAAACAGAACCTTCATTGCTTGACTGTCACCATGCTTTAGCTCGAGCGACAACATGTTGCTCGACTGTCGCTAAGCTTTCGCTCTAGCGACAATGTTGTCTGGAAAATTTTTATTTCGCGATTTAAAGGTTTTTTCTCTGATCCATTACTTTTCTAACCTACCTATAAATACCAAAACATATCTAAACGTAAAAATAAGGTTGATCATTGAGAGAGTTTCATCAGAGAGAATTTCTACTTTCAACATTCATCATGTAAGTTTGTTTTGGTGAGAAAAATATCAATTTCGTAATNATCCAAATACCAAACTGTTCTTTTCGCAGATCTGTCAGAGTTGTTGGAGATCGAGAGAAGTTGACTAGAGTTCCAGTTGTTGAAAAACGAGGTGTTCTTCGTGGATCCACAGGAGATAAACGATTTCACAAAACTAAGAGTTGCTGCAGGAGAGCACAATACAGGAGAGTTTTGGAAACTGCAGTTAGGAGTAGTGCATGAGCACAGAATCCAGGATAGCTATTAGAATTGCAGTCACGAGATCAGTTAATACGTGTCGTCGTTTAGTCTGATAGACTGTAATTAGTTACAAATCGTTTATAATGCATTGTTGATTGGCAAAGTATTCGGAGTGTTTACCCAGTTGAGGTTTCTCCGTGATCATACCGTGTGTTTTTACTGCTTTCTTTATTGATTATATTAACTGTGGTATTTAAACATATGTTAAATTNGAGTTTTTATCTAGTCGAGATTTCTCTGTGATCATATCGTGTGTCTTTACTGCTTTCTTTATTGATTATATTAACTGCAGTATTTAACCATATGTTAAATTGACTTGCATGTTTAATCATATAGAGATAATTAATTGGTGACATGTTGCTAATTAATTAATAATTTTAATTCTGCATAATATACCTATTCACCCCCTAGGTATTGTTAGGGCCGAACTTCGTAACTTTCAGTCCTATTTCGTACTTTGATAAACCGTAATAGATGTTAATAAGCTAAGAATAATTATTTTTGGATCTAAAAAATTAATAATTATAGATATGTCAAATACGTATTACTGTCTTTTTCTAAGCATAAGTTTTTTAAATGAGCATTTTGAATAAAAAAAAGTGAATATTACATAACAACAACACAATATTGATACACCTTAATCAGAATAAAAAAATCGACCAATTTATGGTTTTAAAAGATATCAATAAATAATTTCAAAATAATTCAGCAAATTTTGTGACATTGTGTATTATTTCTAGTACGAAA